TCTTTCCCCATCATGCTGGTCTGGCACAGGCTGTCCAGCTGAGGCACCCACCGAGCTCATGGTGCTGAGGGCCCTGTGTCACACCAGGTGTGCCATAGCTGTGTTGTGACATGATCCTACAGGGAAGACAGAGGAGGAGTACCGACATCAGCTGGGGAGCTACGGCATCTCAGGGGAGCTGGCGGTGCGCCCTGTGGCCAGCCTGTCTGGAGGTCAGAAGAGTCGCGTGGCCTTTGCCCAGATGACTATGCCCCGGTAATTTTCTCCCAAATGCTGTTAATTTTTGCGTGGCTTTATCCTTGGAGCCTACTTGACCAGGAGGAAGGCAGGCTTCCTTTCTTGTACTCCGCAGAAGCCTTGTCCTTGGGGGTTTTTATGGGAGGGAGGTTGTCACCCTGAGGAGACTGTATGGCAGGAGGCAGTTGGTTTTCTCCCACTGCTTTGGGCTCACAGGGGTAAGAGGTGTCCCTCCCTGGCGCTGGACAATGCTGATCCTGGGGCCAGGCATGTGCTGGTGGCTGTGGCTCTAAGTGGCTAAAGCAGTGGTTGGGGTGCAAACAGAGCCTGAGCCTGTTCCAGTGCATCCTAAGTTGTCTTCTCTTCCAGCCCAAACTTTTACATCCTGGATGAGCCAACAAATCACCTGGACATGGAGACCATCGAGGCACTGGCAAAGGCACTGAATAAGTTCCGGGTAAGGTTGCCCCAGCAAGACCTCCTGTTTTTATAACACTTCCTGCAGCCGCCAGCTCAAGTTACTTGGTATCTCAGCCAGAGGTGGGTGGGCAATAGTAGTGGTGGCTTCAGGTCTAGGACAGAATTTGAGAAGTCAGTCACATTTTTGCCTTAGCTATCCATCCTGGTGGTTCATTTCACTTGCTTGCTTTGGCTAGAAGTAGCTGAGAGAGACAGTAGCAGCCCAGAGAGCACCTTGTCCATGATCTTGACCTGTCACCTTCATCCTGTGACTTCATGCAGCACTCAGCCCTGCCTTGGGGCAGCTCAGGTCTTCCTTAGGCACAGTTTATTGCTGATCTCCAAACACTCAGCCTCCAGATACCACTGTGATCACCCTCGTTCTCACTGGTTTACAGTTACTCGGGTTGAGGCAGTTTTCCTGTGAAAGAACTTAGCTGAGGTGACTTTGTGTGGAATCTCCGTCCATAAAGCTGTCAGAGGCCTGAAAACCAGTAGCAAACCCTGCACTTGCCTTATGAAAGGGGAATAAATACGTTGCTGCTGCACATGCCTCCTCCATACATGATCAGCCTGTTCCCCTGAAGGACAGAAAGGCTGGGATGAGGTCCCTGCCAGTGAAATACAGTTCAGTCTTCCCTGGAGCAGATGGAAACCTGAAGTCCTGGGCACATTTTAGACAGGGGCACAGGATGTCCATGCCACCAGCCCTGGGTTGTGCTCCACTAAATTCCCATTTTCCCCCCTTGTGTGTTGGCAGGGTGGTTTAATCCTGGTGTCCCACGACGAGCGCTTCATCCGCCTGGTGTGCCAGGAGCTGTGGGTGTGTGAAAATGCCACTGTAACCCGCATCGAGGGTGGCTTTGACCAGTACAGGGACATCCTGAAGGAGCAGTTCCGGAAGGAGGGTTTCCTATAAGGGAGGCGGGAGCCGGACTGCGCCGGGGGCTGCAGGGCAAAGCTCAGCCACCTCGGCATCCATCCCAACTGTGCCTGGCAGAGCGCCAAGGACGCTGCTGCCCACATGGATCGTCAGCCATGCCATCAAACTGCCACCTGAACTGCTCTCCCCTCCCGGGGCCGGGCGGAAGGACAGCGCGGGAGCAGGAGCCTGGTGCTGTGCGTGGCCGGGGGCACGCC